CAGAAATATATCTTGAAATGTACGTTACATTTACATAGTTTTCTAAATCGGCATGGATATATGTTAAAAAAGACAGTAACTACAAAATAGAATTTTACTACATGTACATGTTAGGTTTCAGTATCTATTAAAAATGACAAGATTCCAAACTGATCGCTCTTAACAAAACAGAGAGAAGAATTTAAAGCATATATTTGAAAAGTGTTTTTATACATCTGGATCAAAAAGTGACCTTTGTTTTTTGAAAGGAAAAATCAAACGCACGTTCGTATGCCGCGAAAATATGTTGCTGACAGAGTTGGTAGGATGTGCTGGTGTTAAGATGAGATATTCCAATTGTGAGTTTAATGACTACATTTTTTTTGACATATTTTTTTGGACATTGAAGAAAGAGTAACGTACATTTCAAGCTACATTTCTGAATAAAATCACCCTCTACTTTATTGTCTTGTCATTATTCCATGTATTATAATTTGATGAAAAAAATCTGGAAACAAAATCTTCAGATACTTTCTTTCAAAGGAATTGATAGAAAAATTGTTATCTTGAACTTCATTTTTTAAAAAAATCAGAGAGGCATTTGTGCCCTTATATTGAGAATGGGTGGCCAATTATTTCTAGCGTCTGTTGTGGCCATTTTGCATAAAATTTGCCGACCACTAAATAAATAACTTTTCATTAAACAGATTATATCATGTAAGTATGTGATACGATATAAGGATTGCTAAGTCATTAATCTCGATCGTTAGGATTTATATCGTAGTGCTTTGGTTTATATTAAATTTTCTTTGTTTTACAAATTGATCAGACACGTTTTTATATCAAGGGGAGATAAAAATATATATATATATATATTTATATAAGAATAGATTAGCATGTAAGAATTAACAGTTGATGAATTTCAATTTCTTTTCTAAGAAATAAAAAATAGAATAAAATAAATAAATAAAAATATATAATATATAAATAAAAAATTAATTAATTTTCTTTTCTGTTTCTTGCAATCAATGTACACGATGCCACCGAGAGCTAAGAAGCGCAGAATGGCTCAACCATCAGCGACTGTCTCACAGCAGCCACGAAGTAGTAGTCAGGCTACAGTGAATTCCCAGACGTACTCGTCGTCGGTGTCGGCAGGATGTCCAGTACCAATACCACCGGCCCAGGCTCCAGCAAATTCTTCTGTAGCGGAAGCTCAACCCATGTTGACAAGAAGTTCAGGGCAATCCCTTGCACTGCCTACGCCTGGAACATTGATTTCAACTTCAGCAGATGTGGGCACCACCCCTGTTTCTGTCCCATCAGTACATATGATTGGTACGAATGTTTCTAGCACAATCAAGCAACGTATTATTGGGGGCAGTATATTGATTTGGCCACATTGGTAACACCAAAATCGGGGTCTGATGAAAAGAAATTAGTTATAAATAGTATGGGGGAGATAATTTCTAAAGATCTCAACTCAAAAAAGGTAGAAAACATAGAGCAATGGACTGATCTTATGCTCATATTTGCAAGCGTGTACTTGAGTGCACATCCCGCCAAGACCCTTGACCTGCTTAAGTACATACAGACCGTAAGAATGGGTGTTAGCAGGGGGTCTCTATCTTGGAAAGAATATGATACTCAGTTTAGGCTGCGTAAGGAGCAAAATCCTTCATCATCATGGGGCGAAGTTGACTCAGAATTATGGTTAATGTACATGCATTCTGGCCCTGCTTATAACGTGACAAATGAACCCAAAACAAATAATGGTAAATGTTACAATTTCAATTTCAAGGGGTCCTGCGACAAATTTCCATGCACGTATAAGCACAGCTGTCTTCGCTGTGGCAGTAACCATCCACTGATACATTGTATTACTAGTGTACAAGCCCCAAACACTGGGTCTGCACAAACATTTCGCCAACAAAATTCAAATGGTCAATTCTTTGGACAGTCAGGTTTCCGTACACAAACCACCAATGCAAATACCAACTACATGTATAAAGGGTATTCCACCAATGCAAATACCAACTATAAGGGGTATTCCAACAGCAACACCCAGCGCCAAACCGACACAAGACCAAGATTCCGCAGTCCGCAATCTATGGCGTCTAGGTTCAACTCCTATTAATTCACACGCCCTTAAAAAATGTCTCGTCCACTATCCTAACAAAATTGTAGCAAATCGGCTAATTCAAGGATTCTCTCAAGGGTTTAAACTCCATTATCATGGGCCCAGATTACCAATTCAATGTAATAATTTGAAATCCGCGGACGAACATCCGAATGAACTTAAGGAGAAAATCGACAAAGAAATTGAAATGGGGAGGATACAGGGTCCCTTCACGCAAATACCAATTTCTAATCTTAGGTTATCTCCAATTGGGTTAGTGCCTAAGGGGGATAATTCGGGCTGGCGTCTAATAACTCACCTCTCTTTTCCGAAGTTTAGTAGTGTGAATTCCTACATAGATCCTTGTGAGACTGCTGTACAATATTCATCCTTTGATTCAGTAATTCAGATGATTGCTAAATTAGGGAAGGGGGCTTTCATAGGTAAGCGGGACATAAAATCGGCATTTCGACTTCTCCCAATATTTCCCGGCGATTTTGATCTTCTTGGTTTTAAATTTCAGGGTAATTATTTCATAGACAAATGTTTACCTATGGGGTGTTCCATTTCGTGTAAGGTTTTCGAGGAATTTTCTACATTTTTGCAGTGGGCTACGATACAGCGATCTAAAACATCAACAATTGATCACTATCTTGATGATTTTATATTTGCTGGGAGGGATGCCCATTCTTGTCAAGAACTTATGTCGAATTTTCAAGGCGTCTGTGATGAAATAGGTGTTCCCATTGCCGAGGACAAATCTGAAGGCCCTACTATGGTTATGACGTTTTTAGGTTTTGAGATAGATACTTATCATATGTTAGTTAAGATCCCCAATTCAAAATGCGTGGAGATACTGGGTATTTTACACCATCTTGTCGTTCAACGCAAGACAACACTCCAACAAATACTATCTGTTTTAGGTAAACTGAATTTCTTTACAAGAGCCATAATACCAGGTAGGGCATTTCTGCGTCGGCTTTATAATGCTACAATAGGAATTTCAGAATTACATTATCGCATAAGGATAACTCAGTCAATGCGGCAGGACTTGTACATGTGGATTAGTTTTCTTGAGTCATTTAATGGGACTGTGTATTTTTTAGATAATGAGTGGACGTCAGACAACAACATTAATTTTTATACAGATAGTTCTGGTTCGTCTTACTTAGGTTGTGGTGCTTATTTCAATGGGGAATGGTGTTTTTACCCTTGGCCAGAAACTTGGGCGTCCAATGAAGTACTTAGAGACATGACCCTTTTAGAGTTAGTTCCGGTGGTCTTGGCTATTTATTTATGGGGTAACAAACTAGCTAATAAAAAGATAATTCTCCATATAGATAATCAAGCGGTAGTCGCTATATTAAATAAGCTCACCTCCAAATCAGAGCGGGTCATGACCCTACTTAGATCATTGGTACTTGCTTCTATGAAATATAATATCTTGTTTCGTGCAGTTTACATATCAAGTAAAGACAATGTAGTAGCTGACTCAATTTCTCGTAAGCAGTGGGCCAGATTCCGACAAGCAGCTCCACATGCCAGGACACATCCTTGCCCAGTGCCCCTATCATTCCGCAACATCATCTCCAGCCTGAGTTTGCTAAACTTTTAGACGCTTCAGTATCTGAAAACACACATAAATCTCATCGTGCTGGAATGGCAGCTTATTACAAAGTATGTAGACTCCTTGATTGTACGCCATGGCCTCCTACATTAAACTCAGTCGTGCAATTCGTTTTGCATTCATCATCATCCGGTCTTTCATATGGTACCGTGAGGTCATACTTGTCTGCCATTTCATTCTATTGTAAATTGCAGAGTATTCACGATCCAACCCCGGAATTCTTGGTTACAAAGTTATTGCAGGGTATGAAACGTTTGAAACATAAAGCAGATACGAGATTGCCAATAACGAAAACAATTTTGATAAATATTATTCAGGTTCTGCCCATAATATGTACCAATGCTTTTGAAACAGCTCTTTTCTCTGCTGCATTCTCCCTGGCCTTTCATGGGTTTTTTAGAGTGGGCGAATTAACAGTTAATACAAGCAAAGGTGATCAACAAAATACAATTCAAATTGACCATTTGAACATAAATCACGAAACACAATCTCTCTCACTGACTATCCAGCACTCGAAAACGGATCAGTTAGGTAGAGGCGCAGTACTACAAATAGATAAGCAGGGGGGGTGTAGTATGTCCATATCAGCTCATTACCAAATACGTCAGCATCCGTCCAAAGGGATCAGGTCCATTATTTCGACACTTCGACTTATCCCCACTCACTCGTTATCAATTTACGGGGGTACTGTGTAAGGCAGTAAAGCACCTGAATTTACCTGGTATCTCGGGTTACAAATCTCACTCTTTTCGTATTGGCGCAAGTACTGATCTCGCGTTAAAAGGATATTCAAATAATGACATTCAGAGATCTGGTCGTTGGAAATCTGATGCTTACAAATCCTACATTCGCATACCAAAGTTCTAATTTAATTTTAGATACACAGACTATATGGTTGGTGGGTTCATCAATAATCAAGCACGCCTTTTTGGAAGCTGTATTAAGACCAGGTGGTACAAATTTGACACTAGAAAGAAAGCACATCTCCCTGTGGTGGCAGGGTTATAGTGGCCTCCAGTTAAGTAAAACAAGACAAAAGATAAGAACTCTGGAAAAGGTGGGCCCTGTACCTAATTTCATTCTTATACATTGTGGGGGGAACGATTTGGGCAATGTATCGATCAGAAAAATAAGGGTTGTGGCAAAGCAGTTGGTTTTATTTTTAATGAATCACTTTCGAAACATTAGGATTATATGGTCATTTATCCTTCCTCGTCTTCAATGGGGCTATTCGGCAAATTTAACCCTGGTAATGCTGAACCCGGAATATTCCGGGATCCCCACTGAGAACGGCTGATAACAAGGAGCACCATCACTTGACGACTTGCAGAGCAACAAATAAGACGTGTATAGCCAGTGTTAAGAAGAAAAGACAAACAAGGATAGGTAATATATTAATTCTAAATTTACAAAAGCCGTTGAGGGCTGTTAAAAATTTCCTGCCGCTGAGGGCAGAGGTTAATGCATAAAATTTTAAGCCGCTGAGGGCTAATAGATAAATTTACTGCCGCTGAGGGCAAAAGTTTAAGCCGTTGAGGGCTGTTAAACATTTTCTGTCGCTGAGGACAGAAGTTAATGCATGAAATTTTAAGCCGCTGAGGGCTAACTATTTTACTGCCGCTGAGGGCAAAAGTTTAATGCATGGAATTTTAAGCCGCTGAGGGCTAAACATTTTACTGCCGCTGAGGGCAAAAGTTTAATGCATGGAATTTGAAGCCGCTGAGGGCTATTGAACATTTCCTGTCGCTGTTATTTTACTGCCACTGAGGGTAGATTTATTGATATCAAATGCATTAACTTTTAAGCCGCTGAGGGCTTTAGAATTTTTCCTGCTGCTTAAAACATATTGTTGAATGAAATGTAGAAAGTTAAAAGCCACTTCGGCGTGTAAAACACATGAAAGTTTGAAAAGCCGCTAAATGATGATGATAATCAAAATATAGAGTTTGTCTATAAGCTAATTAATGAGATATTAGGAGATACTAGTTTATGAAGATAAGCTGCTTGAAAATTCAATGCCAGTGAAGGGCCCGGGCTATCCACGACTATTGAATAAAATCTTTAATATACGAAAGTTATTAAGAATAGATATAAATATACAGTATATTGTTTATATGAATTATGGCTCTTTAAGTAATGATGCGAGAGGCCGAATCATGATGATTATAAAGATTTATAGATATAACATGATCAGATGATATTAAGATGAACGTCTAGCATATTAAGTTAAATGTGGTAATCATTTTCATGTATTTTCTCATTACTAGATGCCTCCTCCGACTGTCTTAAAGCGGAGACACTCTCTGCGGGGGAAAGACTTGTTCCCCGTCATCAAAGAGCTGCGAGGACTAGAACAGCCGGTGAAGCAGTTCGCACGGTACAAAATTAACACGCCGCTTGAAGACATGGACAAAGAGGAAGTAATTAACGCCGTCAGGGAGTTGACCGGAGAGTCGGAAAAAGACTGCCTGCAGACGGCTGGTAGAGAGATGTCAGACGAGAATTTAAGGACGCTTCTCCATCTAGTTATCTTAAGGGCGAATGAGTTCGGCCAACCAGCTGGCCAAGAATTAGCCGCCGAGAACAAGGTAAACAGTTAAACTGTAATGATAATTAGTGTAATTATTACTAGCATCATAACTACGGGATGTCTTAATCAATATTCCTTATTCCATGAATTATACTTGTGTAGATAAAATTATTAAAAAAAGAAAAGAAAAAAAAAATAAATAAATAAATAAATAAACGATTTTCATTTTGATTGATTTTCACAATTATTTGTGTACAGGAGAGTGAGCCGGAAGAGCCACCTGCCAAGAAAGGAAAGTCGGCACCGAGCGTTGAGAAGAGACTACAAGAACTTGAGAAAAGTCAGAAAAATGAAGAGGACAAAGAAATAGAGAATGTGAAAGAAAAGGTGAGGAGTTTGGCACTTCAAAGCAGCCCTAGTATCCCTCTTCTCCTTGTTTCTTTGGATGAGCTCGCCAGAATAACTAGGCGGAAGGGCCATGATGAGGCCTCCGTGTTTGATGAGCTTTCCCGACAGGCTAATTTAAATCAAGACAAAATTGATGTCCCAAACTTTTGTCTAAGTGTCCTTGGAGGCAAAGCGTCTGATATAGTAGGTAAAGCGCTGTCTAAAGCTATCAAATCAAAACCCGAAACGAAACCGTCGGAAACGGAGAAGACTCCAACTCAAACTCAATCTCCACTATTGAATCTATATGGTCAACCAAACTACATGGGATATATTCCACCACACTGCAATTTTGTACCTGGTTCGCACGGAGTGGGTTCTCAGTATGGGTACCGCCGATACCAGCGCGCTCCATATCGGCAACCGAGGACCGGCTGTCTATTCTGCGGGGCAAATGACCACTATGTCCGAGACTGTACGAAAATGAAGGCTGCGAGAGGAAAAATGAATTCTCAATGACATCAGACAATTTTAAAGAACGGATTTAGTCAATTTTAATTAATTTCTCAGACTTGAAATGTACATTTATTGGTAATTTCTTTAAGTAAAATATGATATTAATTATCACTTGTCAATGATTTGAATACATGTACATGTAGTGTGTTTTCAGTCTGAAAGTAGAATTAATTACATATAAAATGAAATGAGTGTTATTGGTATTTGTTATCCCAATACCTGATATCCGGGGACACTGAAGCCCTAGTGAGTACTCTCACGTGGATTGATGGTTTGGGATCATGTTTTCCCATGTTATCCTAGTAGATGATGCTCAAATCAGAGGTATAATTATTAGTAATAATAAATATCTCATGTTTGCAGGAATTTAACATTTACGTTCCTGACTGGGAGAAAAGTGACGAATTTAACCCAGAGGAAATTATTTTACGTAAGAGAGAGCATCCTACTTGGACGACATTGGGAGAATACGGTTCCAAGCCAACAATCCATGCAGATGGACAAGTATTTATGGATTCTTACAGCGATTTACTGCATTTGTCTGTAAGAAATCCTGATCGATTCATTTCGGGTGAAATTCACAAACACAAAGATGAATGGTTGCGTATAACTCAAAGAAACTCGGACAAAATGTCAACTACAATTCAAAATTGGGTCAATAATGGCATAGATGTTAGGTCCTTCCTGCGTCCGTTCAAGGGAAACTTCAAGGGGCAATCATATGATAATAGACTCCCACCAAAACAGTATTTTCAAAATTCTAAAACTTGCAGAAACTTTGTTCATTTTATTAGAGAAGAAATAAGTGAGAGACTAGTGAATGGTTCATTGAGATTATGGGGAAGGGTGGGAACAAGCTGTCTCCCTCAGATTATCATGCCTTTGACAGTGGAGCCAAATAAGCCACGACTCTGTCATGACGAGCGCTTTTTGAACTTGTGGACTAAGGATTTACCCTTCACATTAGATACACTTAAAGACGTTCATAGACTTGTTGGGGAACATGCTTACATGATGTGTTGCGATGAAAAATCCGGATACGATCATATTAAACTCACCAGAGAATCAGAAACGTACTTTGGAATTCAGTTTGGGGGATGGGTCTACACATACACAACCCTACCATTTGGTTGGAAAGCCTCTCCCTACCTATATCAAATGATTGGGATGCAAATCACATCATATCTTCGAGAGAAAGGTATTCATATGGTTTAGTACATTGATGACAGGCTTGCAGTGTGTCAGCAATATGTTCAATCAGAAATTCAAGAACAAGCTTGTCCGTTACAAATGGTGAAACTTATTGTGACCGAATTAACAGCCTTAGGATATACACTAGCTATCAAAAAGTGCCAGCTTATCCCAACTACAGTAGTCCGATACTTAGGTTTTTTAGTTGACTCTACTAAACAGGCCTACTTACTTCCATTGGATAAAAAGAAATCATTCATCAGAATACGAGAGAGTATCTTGCAAACAAATGAAGTTGATGTTAAAACACTTCAACGATTCGCCGGGAAATGTATATCAATGGCAATCGTTATACCAGGTGCCAAATTATATACAAGGGAAATGAATTTCGCGATATCACTGTGCATGAAGAATAGTAAACAAACAATCATTTCTCGTGAGCTGCGACAAGAGATCGAACACTGGAGGTTTTTGGACGACTGGGAAGGCTTCGCGCCTTGGAGACAAGAGAAACATCTTCAAATGTCACTGTCAACGGATGCATCCTCTTTCCGTTATGGAATCTCCCTTATGTCAGGCCAAGACAAGGGTCTATCTTTTGGAGACTATTGGTCAAACGAGGATGATAGACCGATTCATCTTAAGGAAGCATCAGCTGTCGACATTGCCCTCAAGTCCTTAGCGATGAAAATCAAAGACCACAGATTAGACATCCATGTTGACAATACCGCAGTCTTGCATGCTTGGGAAAATCAAAGGTCACGGGACCGGCATTTGGCTGATATAATGAAAAATATATTCCAGACAGTTTGGAAATTGAATATTGACTTGAGATTACACTATGTGCCCTCATGGTAATGCTGAACCCGGAATATTCCGGGTTTCGAATGCATGTGCTGTGAGCTGAACCCGGAATATTCCGGGTTACGACATATTGTTCATTAGCATATTTTTATAACGTATTTTTAAACATCCAATGGAAATAAAGTCTAATAAAAACCTTTTCCTTATTTGGTAATACGTTTGGGGTTAAAACTAGCTCAGTGACGTAGCTAAAATCTGATTGGTTGTTATTTAAAACAAGTGTGTAGTTGCGAGTTTATTTATGGGTGACCCAAAATGGCGGCGTTCTTACCACAACATGAAAACTTCTTCAACGAATTATTTAACGACGATGAAAGTGACGAAGAGTTTGAGGGATTTGAGTCTGATGATCTGGCCGACAGTTCCGATGAAGAAGTCAACGAAAATCCGAATAATTTCATGGCAAACTGGCAAGATGGTGACCGACCTCGCACTGACATGGGCTTCACAGGCGTCCCTGGACTAAATGTTGAAATGCCAGATGATCAACGTTCGCCACTTGATTTTTTCAACCTATTCATCAAGGATGATGATTTCCAGACTATGGCAGACGAAACTAATCGCTATGCGGAGCAGTATCTACAACGAAATGAGGGAAACCTCAAGCCTTCTTCCCGATTTCGTAACTGGGTCAAAACCACAGTGGATGAAATGAAGGTGTTTATCGCAATTACGATTGCGATGGGTTTAGTAGTTCAGCTGGACATTTCCGAGTATTGGACGACATCGGAGGTGAATACCACACCGTTTTTTCCGTCATTAATGCCAAGGGACAGGTTTTGGCTCCTCATGTGCTTCTTTCATTTGGCAGATAACAGCGCACAGGTACGTCGAGGAAACGCGGGTTACAACCCTCTATACAAACTCGGATCCCTTTACAAAAACATTATTTCTTCATTCGGGACTGTGTTTCGTCCACACCAACATCTGTCTTTGGATGAAGGGATGGTACCGTGGCGAGGAAATCTGTCTTTTCGTGTGTACAATCCAGACAAACCCAAGAAGTATGGGATCAAGGCCTACATGTTGTGTGATGCAGTGACTGGGTATTGTTTACGTTTCAAACTTTATACTGGGAAATCGGAGACACCTGCTAGTGCAAATGGGGCTACATACGACTTAGTTATGGACATGATGCGAGGATACTTTGGACAAGGTTACATTTTGTACATGGACAATTATTATAGTTCACCACAGCTTTACACAGACTTGTTTGTGCTCGGGTGTGGTGCCACTGGAACATTACGAGTTAACCGGAAGGGAATTCCGCAGCGGATAAAGGACAAAAAGGTGGACAAAGGTAACATGTTCAGTATGTGCAATGATGAACTTGTTCTTGTGAAGTACCATGACCGTAAAGTTGTTTACCTGTTATCTACCATCGAGGAAGCTGCAAAAGCCCCCTGTGGAAGAGTGGCACCACGAACAGGAACACCCATCGAAAATCCTGCTATCGTTAATGTGTACAACAAGTATATGGGAGGCGTAGATCGGTCTGATCAAATGGTTTCTTACGCTACTTTCAATGCCAGGACCCTGAAGTGGTGGAAGCGCGTGATTTTCCATGTGATTTCTCTAGCTACTTTGAATGCTTACCTGTGCTACAAGACCCTAACTCCAAGGAAACCTATGCTTCACAGAGTTTTCCGAAAACAACTTGTAACCGAACTTGTGCAGTCCGTTAATAGAGCATGTGTCCCAGGAATGTGTACAAAGCCTGTGGGGAGGCCTAGCACTGCAGCAGAACCCATCATGAGACTGCAGGGGCAGCACTTCCCCATGAAGATCGTTGGAACAGGCTTAAAGAAAAACATTACCCGTGCTTGTGTCGTGTGCTCGGTGGCAGAGAGGCAGAGGCTCGAATCAGTTGGTGAAAAAAGGAAAAGAGCAGGAAAGGAATCTAGCTATCAGTGTGACAAGTGTCTGACTGCCTTGTGCGTTGACCCCTGCTTCAAACTTTTTCACACACATAAAGACTACATAGCTGCATACAAGGTGCGTGTGATGGTCGACGAGTAGATTTCAGTTCAGATGTGAAAATTATGTGCGGATACAAATCCATCCAAAGAATTTATTTATTATGACATTTTATGTGTTCATTGTATTATTCATGTTATCTGTTATAAGTTATTTAAAGTTTGAAACAGGGATCAATGCACAAGGCACATTGATAACTAGATTCCTTTCCTGTCCTTTTTCTTATGACATTTTATGTGTTCATTGTATTATTCATGTTATCTGTTATAAATTATTTATTTATTTATTTATTTATTTATTTATCTGTAATTAATCAGTTTATAAATTTCTAATGAAATATCGATTAATTTGATTTAAAAAATGATATTTCTCTTCTAAAATCTATTTCTTTATGTTTTTACCTGTATTTACCTGAAGATTACCTAAATATATATACATGTATATAATTATTACCTGTTCAGGTGTGAAAATTATGTGTGGATACATTAAATACTACCATATCTATTTATCATGACATATTATGTATTTATTGTATTATTCATGTTATATGTTATAAGTTATTTATTTATTTATATGTATTTAATTAGCTGCATATTTAAAGTTATTCAGTCGTTTTCATTGGTTGTTGAAATGGATTATACCTGTTGAAAAATACATACCTGTTCTGTAATTGAATGAAGAAAATTATCAATTAATTATTAATTTATTAATTTCTCATAAAATATTGATTGATTTGATTTAAAAAATAATATTTCTCTTTTAAAATCTATTTTTTTTTATGTTTTTACCTGTATCTACCTGGAGATTACCTGTACAGCTGTATATATACAAATATATTGTATTATAACATGTTTGAAATAGAAGCTAAAAGTCTGCTGAACATTTTGATGTATAATATGTCTATATTACTATTATTGTTACTAAATAAATTTGATTTAAACAAACCACCTCTTTTTCTTTCAAAACTAGGCAAAAATATTCAGCTCACAGCCTTTTCACTTTGTATTATATATAGCATTACTAGGGTTAAAAGCTATGGAAAATGCACGCAAACGGGTTAATTCTGGTATAGCTGCAATTGTCTTGCAATCTGGGGGCGCAATAATCCGCCATACAGACATTAAACCTGATCCGGCCTTGTTTTTACACGACGGGGTACACATGTCCTCGTTGGGAAATAACATATTTCTAAACTCTCTCCAGGGGGGACTTGAGGCTATCGTTGCGCATGGTCAATCCTGCTTTCGTAATTAACAAGGGTCCTGGGTACGGCTGTTCGTATATGCCGCTCTACCCCCACCATGATGGCGGAGTTCCCTGGATGAGTTTCATTCTGATCCTCATCTCAGGGAACTTGTGGCGTATAAGCGGCATTTGGTAATAAATATATTGTAAGCTTTGACCTCTGCACCTCCCAGGGTCAATGCTTTCTAGATATATATGGTGAACTTTGAACTTGGATGTTGTTGTGAACTTTGAACTTGTTTGATTGCGATAAAATGTGAACTTTGAACTTTGATGTTGTATAAACTTTGACCCACCACTATATGAACTTTGACCTTTGGTCATGACCTTACTATTTGATTGTATTTGATGTTGAATGTTGTTTGTGCATTTGATTTGGGGCATGCTCGTTGCTGGCTGCCCATTGCCCATTTTGTTTGTTTTGTATTTGAAAGCAAGTTACTAATAACAGCCGTGCCCTAATATCGCCACACTTAATAAAATAAATTTCAAGTTACCATTCGTTTGAGTTTCACTTTTCTGAGATAAATTTTTTTCAACACCCACAAAGTTGTTTTTTTTCAGGAAAAATATTAAAAAATGCAAAAAATGTATTTCAAAAATTGTCTTAGGGGGAAAAAAGTAACAAAGCTCTTTTTTATTATTTTCTTTTTCTTTTCTTTTTATTTATTGCAAAAGGAGCGCCAAAGGATTCAAATAATAAAAGTGTTGAATCAAGGAACTATATTATTATTAATACGTAATCTTTAAGTAGTAGGACTTAAAACCTAAAGGAAATAACCCTTTAGACATGTTCTAAGATGATTCTGTCAGGAAAGATACTTACTCCATTCATCGTTATTCGTCCTGTAATAAATCCATATGTCATGTATACTATAGATGGACGTCAGATTAACCCACCAGGTGGTAGTGTTGTGTTTTGAAGCTGATTTAGTACATTGTCCGCCCCGACCACTCAGGTCAGATGTCCGACCATCTACGGCATTGCTTGAGTCAAATATGTTTTCTCTTCTATACGGATTTGATTGCCATGTTGGTTTATTCAGGGCCACATTGACTAAAATGGTAAAAATTTTTACTTCCTGTGACATATTTACAGCAAATAGATTAGATTTTCAAAAAAATACACAAACACACACAAGCAAAAAAACAGGATGTGTTTGTGAAATACTGATGCCTCCGTATGGACCAACGTAGCGAGGGTTCAGCTTTCTCAAATGTAGATTAATACGTTGGTACCTGAAGTAAGGCCTTTTCATAAGAAATACAAATATGAATAATAAAACACTAGCACCTTCTGTTCAAAGGTTATGACCAAGGTCAACGTTTCTAAAGGTAAGGTAAACTCCGGGGTTAAGTTCAAAGGGTCAAGGTTGTTTGTATCTAAAGAAAGGCCTGGTCTCAAAGATAACATATCGTACTAAGCTTAAAGTTTGTAAAAAGTACGTCAAACAGAAAGATCAAAGGGTCAAAGTGGTTAATATCCAATGAAAGATCTTGTCACAAGGATTACGTATGTGAAGAATGAAAGCCCTAGCCCTTACCGTTCAAAAGTTATGGCCAAACTTAATGTAGGGAAATGTCCAAGGTTAAGGTCAACAGGTCAAAATTGTTGGTTTCTTTGCTACAAAGAATAGATATTTGAAATTTGAAATTCCTAGTATCTACTGTTTAAAAATTAGGACCAGAGTAAAAGTTTTGATTTTTTGTGTTAAAATAGGTCAAACTCCAAGGTCAACGTCAATGGGTCGAAATTCTTGATATCAGATGAAAGGTCTTGTCACATGAATTAAACATGTGATGTATAAACGCCCTAGTTCTAGCCCTTCAAAATTTATGGTCAGGATTGTATTTGAAAAGTAGGTCAAACTCCAAGGTCAAAGTCAAAAGGTTAAAGTTCTTGAAATGTAATGAAACATCTTCTCATAAAGATTACATACATGAAGTATGAAAGTCCTAGCCCATACTGTTCATATTATGGCCAAGTTTAAAGTTTTCTCATAAGTACGAAAATCTCAAAGGTCAAGGTCAAAAGCTTAAAGTTGTTGGTACTCTATGAAAAGAATCGCCACAAAAAATTCATTTGAAGTATAACAGTCCTGGTATTTACTGTTCAAAAGATATGGCCAATGTAAAAATTTGGAATTTTTGTGTAAAAGTGGGTCAATTTCGAAGCTCAAGGACAATAGGTCAAATTTGGAGGTACTAAAAGAAAGGACTTCTACACAAGAAATACACACGTGAAATAGCTCCACAAAATTAAAATTTATGGGAAGGGTAAAAGTTTTTCCAGACAAACAGAGAGAAAGACAGACAGCTAGACAGACAGACTGGCGGACACGACAAAAACTATTTATTCCCGAAACGTCTTCCACGTGGGCATAAAAATATAAAAGATTTTGTCATGGCTGAGAACAACACTTTAAAGACAGATGATAGAAACAAGAAAAAAGAGATATCCAATAAAAAAAATAAAGAAAGAAGAAAAGGGAATTTTTGCTTACTTTTAGAAATGATTGAATTAATATTGAGTAATGATGCATCGTACCGTTCTTATAACCGAAGAGAAAACAGTTTCAATCACTTTAAATAAAAAAATATGGATTAAATAGATTTATTAAAAAAGATTGAAAACATAGGTTATTAAATAGGACATGATAAATGTTTTTCTACTTGATAAAAATATATCTGATGGCAGGCACCAGTAAACCTGATACGTATATTAACTGGATAAAAAGAAAATCAATGAATTTTTTTCTTTAGAAGTAAAATAAACTTACCATAAGCAAGTGTATATCCGATTACAAATGCTAAGAAGTATATTCTAAAACTAATTAACACCATTTCAATAAATATCAATAAAGTAACTCGAATGCAAAATTATTAGAAAAAAAATGTACTAAGAATGAATATTCAACTTTTTTGAGGGCAGAACATTCCTTGGTAGCTAAATAATAATGAAATAAAATGAGTTCATCTTTCAAGATAAATCTACTTAAACTTGTTTGCATTATTGAGAAAACGGAAGGAAGTTTGTTTCCTTTATGATTCATCTGCTATTCATTCAAACTCAGATAGTGTCAATTACATAATAAACGATGTTCTTTTCCTTATCCCTTGACAGGATATGATTGTTAAAACAGGTGACGTTTATCACATCAGCAAATACAATTTATCATTCACACAAATGCTGACTGACGTTTTTCTTACTAGCTGTTAGTCCATCATTTAAACATTGAGTTGACGACAGATTTTTTCCGTTATTTCCCGATCATGACAAGGAACACACGGCGGGTGTGACTGGTCAGCAGGGGACGCTCACTCCTCCATGGCACCTGATTCCAACTCTAATTCCAACTCTAATGTTTCGGAGGTCCGTGTTTGCTCTGCACCTGGTTTGTATTGTTTTATGGACTTTATTGACTTTATCTAAATTGAATAATGTGCATAATCTCCGTATCCATCTTCCAAATTTGAAATAACTTATGGTTAAATCAAAATTCAAATTGATATCAAAATCTATTGGTATTATCACTAAAACAAAGTTTTCATATAAAATAAAAGAGACACGAGTCACTGAATGTGAAAATAGTTTAATAACACAATGATAAGGATTCGAGAACGTTTATAATACTCTTTGCTAGAAAAAAGGAGAGGGTATTCAGTGATCGCCATGTCCGTCCATATGTCCATCTGTCCACCTGTCTGCAGTCTGTTAGACAGTGGGGTACCCATTTGTAATCCCCATTTCCCCTTAGACAGAACCTCTGAATAAAATGTAATGAGAATTTCACAGAATCTTAATAACATAGAGAAATTGTACACCTCCAATTTTACTTTTGTAGCTCATTGCTCACATTACTCACAGTACCTTAAGTTTTATACTATTGTAACACAAGTTCTTGTGAAAGATTCAAAAGAATTAATTATGTGTTAATTCTTTTGACGATTTGATATCAGTATTTAACAAAGGAAATGCGTAAACAAACATCCTGACCTCACTTTGATATCACTGTAAGACTACTTTATGAGAACATTTTAGCTTTTACTGAAAAGGAAAAAAAAGTAAATTCCAAAGGTAAAAAACATAGTGAAAATCATTGATTTCAACACAATATATTCTTAATCTTGTTTTTGTAAAATCATGCATATAATAAGCGTCGAATATATCTGTTATAAACATAAAGGCTGTTATTCTTCAATTAAATTGTCAACAATGCTAGACATTTACTCTAACAATGTTACTTGACCGTCGATCGAGTAGAACATAAGGCTTGTCTAGAGCTTTGGGAACATGATTTGAAACCTGTTCAAGTACTCAAATTGTGACCTTTTCGGAAAAAAAAAACATGACTGACTGTATATCATTTAAGGTCCATCTAGATTTTTTTTTTTCACTCATACAAATACACCACCATTTAGTGACTGAATGAAAACTGAAAGGTCTCTGAATGTTGCCATTGAACTTAGCTGAAAAGTTCCTATTTTTTAAAATAATTTGGAAAGATAATCAAAAATCTATTTGAATATGAACATACCCAACTTCTTACATGTATAATCAATTATGTGAGTGATCTTTTTATCATGTAATGAAGGGTATTAAATGGTTTCAGGTATACCCATGTCACCAGCTGCTACAGGTGGCAGTTCTTTATTCATGACATAAATATGATCATCGTCCTCCTTCTTTTTAAGATTGGAATCAATCCATCAAAGGCAGTAACACCCCATTGGCCCACTCACCCCACAACTTGTTATTATTATTTCAATTATTATTAGTATCATTATTATCATTAATGTTTCGAAACATACAAAGACATTTTCTGAATATAATATCTACTTATTTTTATTATGTCATTTAAACAACATTCACTACATGTATATGTCTCCAAAGCATAGTGTAGTTTGTAAAAAAAAATCAAATCAAATCATGCATAAATGTACAATCTTTGTGTCAAAAATTAAACTTTTAATATGAGAAGGTAAACACTTATCAAATAATTATGCATTCCAACGACATTTTGATTTACAACTAAAATGTATCTGCTTCGTTATAATAGCCAATAGCGTATAATTTGATACAATATGCTAAGGGGATATCTTAAAAGTGGTACGATCTATTCACAGAATTTAAAGTATACTGTATAAAGGAAATATAACCTGGAACTGAATCGACTCTTAAACTTTTTATGCCATATTTTTTTTATACTTAAGGAAAAGTTATAAAACTGAGCTAAATTTTTTCTGAAAAAAATTTACCTGATTCCTTATGATAATGCAATCAATATACCAGTTCATTTTCTGTTCTTTAATCTTACGATATGTCTGACAGACAGAGATTATAAAAAGGAACAGTCATCAAAGATGGGATATTGTAATGTACTTGAGGGTATTTAGAGGCACTGTTTAAATAAACGAGCCGAAACATGGATATATTTTTTGCATTTAAATTCAAATTTAAAGATATAAAACAATTCGAATCAATTTCCAATATGGTGTATTTATTAATACTAAGAACAGATGGATTAATGAAATGACGTCATAAACCTTTTTGTACATTTAAGTCTTGTAAAACATACTTATGCAATAATTTAGGATCATCGCACTTATAATTCTGGTTTTTCTCTCATATTTCGGTTTAAAAGGATTAGTATTTTATTATAAAACATTCATTCATAACTCTATCCTGTATGAAAAGCCCGGAAATATGGCACAGGGTAATGTCTAAGAAAATTGAAAATGCAGTAATGGTTAGATTATTGATAACTGTCCTATTTACAAAGTCTAAATAACATCAAAGAGTAAAAATGGAGAGGAAGGGAAAGGGTTGATTGGTAAGGAGGTGAAATCATGTATTCAGTGATATTTCCTTCTGTCTCCAGGTTCTAAAATGTTTTCTTCACATTTCTCAGCTTCTTTGAATAGGCACTATAACAATACAAGAGATATATTGCATTAAAGATGCACTGTAAGTCTAATGCTTTTGAAATATTCGCCACATATGGATCCACCACTTTACTGATTGCTGTAAATGGTTTCTCTGGCACTTTGTATGTGATCATATACAGATCTAAAGACCAGACCATACTCATCCTGAAAAAAAAAATGCGATGAAAACATGTTTTGAATTACGTAAATGACCTTCCCCTCTCAAAACATCAACTTATTTTTTTTATTGAAATTATTATGAGTCGTGGCGAAGTTCAATGGAGATATATTTAATTTTAACAAGCCTTTAGTTATCAAAATGTATTATTATAGTTTTATGTTATATACGAAGGTCTATTTGGTTTAGACGCTTAAAGCAATCCGTAATGTTAACATTCAAGCGTTAGCAGCACACTTGAGAAGGGATACACTGTAAAACTATGAAAATTTCACATGCGCGCAAATTATTTGCTTTACCGTACGTGACTTTTGCATTTGAATGAAGCTTTATCATGACCTCAACAAAAAGCTAAATATTTAGTTACATGTACTATTGCGGTTAATTTATTACCAACTTACAAAATTAGCACAGAACTCCGGTCTTCTAACTTGAAGTTGTCTGACGGCAGTGAAGACGTCAACACAGTCGTCTATATTTATCTGTTGTATTACGTTATGAAGGGCACAGAAAACGCCACACAGGCACGCTCCATCTCTGTTGAAAGAAATAAAGACGCAAGTTAAGCAAGAGGATGATACAATATGTACAAAGGTATTCTGATATGTGTTTACTACATCCTGAAGTGTGATAAATATACAGGTGACAATCAGAACGACTTTTAACCAAAGGAACAAGGGGATTCCAACAAACATATTTAATTTTGTTTGGTTGGGCATTGGTATACTTTATTAGCTTACGCTTCTAAGTTTTCCCTACCACACCGGTATATAAATAAAACAAAAAGTTTGGAAGTGATATAAATATAACATATAGAGTGATTACTTGCTGATAACTGTAATCGGCTTCTCATTCTCGTAACTCAGGGCGATTGATACCAGGCTTCTGAGCATGGATGTGTCTAGAGGTTTTCCGGATGTCCCAATGGTGACGTTCGGATCAATAATTGTAACTGAATGGGGTTCCTCCTCACTCTAAATCATCATTCAATAAAATGAAAAAGTAAAATATAATAAAATAAACTAAAAAAACTAAATATGCAATATTTTTTTTGTAAAGTATGTATTTTACTCTGAATGAAAGTATCAAAAAAGTAAATTCATGCAAGTCTGAAATATCACCAAATAAAAAAAAATGCTCACATTATTCTGCATGACGTGCAGTACGGTTTTTCTGACGTCAGATCCGGTTTTTGTTTGATAGTGAACATTGAAAGGAGTGACAATCTTTGGAGAGGAAGGAGTAGGTAGCCACGCTTTAGTCTTTAGAAAGAACACACAAGTGCAATCATTTATCTAGAATATTCTTATAATGTAACGTAATCAGTAACTGCAAAAGTATTTTAATATATTCTGAGTAATTACCGTTTGGTTCCTTCATATCTTATTTACTGCATATAATATTGATTAACCTACGAGAGTCAATTAAAAAGTTCGTAGACTTTTGTTCCAACTTTGTTATTTTACGTCATATTATATCCAAATTTGGTACACATATTTTAACAACAAATTGGAATAATTTAAGTTTAGAAATTGAAACATCTGTTCATATTTATGCATATTATCAAGGATTTGGAACAGCAAAAATGGGGTCACCGAGTAACGTCAAAATTGAGTAAATTACTAATTTTCACTTCATAGTGTCAATAGCCAGAACTCGAATAAATGGAGCTGAAACAAAATAAAATTTACATGTTTAAATTCAGTCTTGATGTATTACTGAAGATGCTATCAGGTACTGTAATATATCGTTCTGTTTGAAAGATATCAGTTTCTAAATACATATGGACTTGATTGAAAGGCCAAATATCATGACGTTGGAGGACCTCACGAAGCAGCGAGTAGCAGTAAAATTTTGCTTTGCATTCGGGAAACTTCTTTAACAAACTTTAAAAAATCTGTATACACCTGGAAATGTTTGAAAAATAAGCCGTATATTTGTATAAAGTGGAAAATACAATTTTTTAGTTGTAGCAAGTTTAAATCAGACGATAGATGGTCTGCAAAGAAACAGATTACAGTTTAAAATCTTGTTAAAACAGATACGAACGTCATTAAACGTCATGTGTGCTTCACTGTTGCGGGACTAATCGAGTTCCGGGGAAGGCCTAAGGAATTTGAAAACAATGACAATCTAGTTCAAGATATTTGCACATTCAATTGTTAGCAAACTAGGTGTTGAGTGTTATGGATATGTTTTTATGAATAGAGAAGACCCAACAAACTGTGTATGGAATTAAAAAGCAAAGTAATTTAGAGAAATTTTCTAGACGTTGTTTTAACGTTACAAAACCGTGCTCCGTGGAAACAAAACATCTTCTTTAAAAATTGGCAAGATGAATTCAACTTAATCAAATGAAATGAAACTTAACACATCGATAAAAAATGTTTTTATTTAGGTAAATGTGTTTATCTATAATCTTGAAATAATAATATACCGATGAGGAACACTGTCTACGTATTATTTGAATGACCCTCGTCTGTGGGAATCAAAATCAAAGTCAGTAATTTCAAGTTACGATTTTTTGGAAAGTACCAAAGAAAATTCACGAATGAGATGGACGAATTTAGTGTGCATAAAATCAAAAGCTTCGGCTATTTAAATGTTATATTGATTATTGTGAATCTAGTATTTAGAGAAAACTTTGCATAAGTAATATGCATGAAATCATGATAAAGAAAGCTTTTCGAAGGAAATTCTTTTCCTTAAAATTTATTCTTTTATTTAAAAAAAATATTAATAGGATATTCTCTTGGATTAAAACCTAAATATAATGGTAAGCAGCAATTTCTGTTGAGACTATAGTATTTTCGTTCATCATGTTCACCATTTCCCTTTACTCCACCGTTATCTTTTCATTTTATCCTAGTGTGCAAACAGTCTAGACATTTTAATAAGTAAGTACCGATTCAATCTGATCCAGAGGATTCATGCAGATGACGATATCAGAATCATGATCATTGAGCAAGCGCAGAAAATCAACAGCGTCCTCTGTCGGCGGATACTGCGTCACTATAAACGCTCTACTGTTGGTGTAAGACTGAAAATCGCAGGAAAAAATCAAATTATTTTTTTTTTCATTGTGAAGAATGAACATAAAATATCCATTAATGTAAAATCATTTGTGTTTTGTTGACAAAATAAAATCATCTAGACTATCATCAAATCATCAAAATCATCAAAACTATTTTGCATATTTTTTTACTTACTGATATATATATTGCGTTGATGAAGCATCCTCTCTTTGGGACGATTGGAGAAAGATAGACACTAAATTTATCCACTATTCAAAGAAACAAAATATATACGTCATGAAAAAAGGACATTATTTTAAAGTTCTGTTTGAGAGAAAAAAATGACTTCTGTGTTAAATGTTAGTTTTTCAAAGAAATGAACAACCCCTGTGTTAGGCATATTTTGTTATCTTTGATGTTCTTTCGCCAAAGGCTAGTAAAATTCAGGTTTTTTCCAAAGTGAACACACGCGTGCGTTTTTACAGTTTTGTTAAATTTTTCTCAACTCTGATCCATAAATACCTTCGACATTAGAGAAAAAATCTTAAATCATTGCATTAAGATAAAAAAGAATAAATTGCCAGCATCTTTCTAGCCTAATTGGCCCTTCTTCATCATTTAATGTTAAACTTACAGTGTTTGCACATGGAACTATGTGCCCAGAATTTGAAGTTAGCATAAAAACTTAAGATTATGGAAAATATCTAGCAAGCTCTGTGAATTTATTTCTCACATCACTGAAGCTTTCAGATGCAAGATCACAATAAACATGTTAAAGTATCATATATTTATTAAACAATACAAACTAAAGACAATATCTAGAGATATTAAAGAAAAACAATCAAATAAATGAACAATAAAAACTAATTTAAATCAGTCATTCTCTTTAAAAAAGCTCAACCGATGGACTACTTACAAGGAAGTATCCCATTCCTGTAAGCATCACCACAACTCTCCTTGGCTATTTTGTAATCAGAGTCAGTGTATGTAGGTCGCACTTTCATCAAAAGCTACAGAATAGATTTAAGAATAACTAAAGAGTAACTTTATATAAGTACACAATTTATATATCTTTGCTGTATATACATTAAGTTTTATCACATATTAACCATAAATACACATATATATTGCTTATATCAAGTTTTATCATGTACAATATTGATTGCTTGTATCATTAATCTAAATTCTTTTTTATAACCTTCCCTATATTTACGGATTTAATTTGACGATCTGTCCCAGCAAACTCATTCACTGATAGACTTGCTCATTCAATCACCTGATGACATTCCATTGCTGTTACATAGTTGCTATTTAATAACTGAACCATTTACAATCTCATTCGTTCATTATCTCACTAAGCAACAAACTGGAAATGCGTTTTTTTTTCGACAAAAATTTCCCTTGTAAATTAGCATGACTTTCTCCTTTAGTAAATAAAAACAATGATCACGTTATTGGAGAAGCCACGCTGATTGGCTGTAAATTAAGACAATTGTGTCATATATTAAAAATAGGCAATTGACCCCGATCTAAATAGTTTTTGAACACCAAACAACTTTACAACAATTTCCAAATAAAAACCTGTGAAATCAAAAAGAAATTATAACAAATAAAACAATTTCAGTTCCTTTTACTCTGTCACTTAAAGATATTATTATTGTAAATAACTTATTTTTTAAATACATTTCCTTATATATTCATTTATTTTCTCTAACTCACCACTTCTGCAATATATATAACAATCACACGGACCATAACATTTTTAATGATGAATTTTTCCTTTTTGACATAAATCATTTTTCAGTCATATTCTATTAGGTACCTGGAATTCTTTATGAAGTTCGCTCTGATTGGCTGGTTTGTCCATCGTGATAGATTGTGCCTTGTTGGTAAACTCGTCAATTGTGTGTACATTCACAGGGGATTTGTATATTTCATTTAACGCTAGGAAAATAGTGATATACTGTTCCTGCAAATATATTTGTTTTGTATTTTAAAATCTTATTTTATGTTAAAATCAAAAGAAAAAATAAAACAAAATAAGCATATTTTTAAATTTGTGCTACCTGATACACGTATCTCTATACAAAAAATAGCATATTCTTTTTTTATGTTAACAAGGTTTTTTATATTCACATAACTTCATTTTAACGTCCTATTGTTATAGTCTTTAGCTACATACATAAAACAACTTATGAATAAAGTATTCCTTGTACTTTTATAGATTGTTAACACAATTTTCCTTTTCGTAAAAATTCTTTTACTTTTATCAATATGTGGACACAAAATAATTATTTTTAAATAAACACTTTATTTTTTTAAGCGTAAATTTGAAGGAAAATACCGCGAAATTTTCAGTACCAGCATAAAATCTGCAACACAGTAAAATTTCAAATGATGGAGAACCTTGATATATATATTAATTACACAGATTAAACATTTTAAATGATGAAGCTTTTTGAAGAATTAATTTTTCACACAAAAATTTTCATTAAATGGCTCTCAATGTGCTTCAATGTGTCTTTTGAACTTCAATTGTGTCAGAAAGGTCTAATTTAAAAGTAGATATATTTAATATATTTGTTTTGTAAAAGCATTTTTTTTAGAACAAAACAAAATGTTTAAATTAACATGATATGAAATTAGAAGTGATTTATGGAGCTTTGCAAAGAACCTTGAAGCACATTGAGAGGCATTTAATGAAAATTGTTGAATAAAAATATTTAATTTTCAAGCTTCATATAAAGGCTTTTTGAATTAAATTATATTATTTTTCAAAACACTTTATTTTTTTAAGCGTAAATTTAAACTATTATTTCAGTACTTTAAATTAAATACATATTGATACTTGGTTATTGTAAATATGATCTTTAATTATGCATTGTTTTGCAAAAACCAAGTATTGTGTTTACTTTATAGATACTGAAAATTTATTAAGCCAGTATATAAACTGGTACTACTATTTGAATATTGGTGACATACATATGTTTGGACCATATTCATCCTATTTTCTCTCATCTTCTTGACATATTCTGCTATGTTAACTTTCCCTGTCTTTCTTCCTATCTTGTTCAGAACGTCTATTGCTATGTATGTCCCTGTTCTTCCAATTCCAGCACTAAAAATTTTGATTTTTCTTGATAGTCAAAGGTTTATTTATACATGTAATTGACATGCACGTAGTAATATTTTAAATCATTATAATTGAATGCCAATCAAAAAAAAAATATCTAAAATAATAACAATATTTCATCTTAATAAGGAATCACCTGCAATGAACAGTAGTTGGAGAATTTGTCGAATTGGTCCCTTTTCTGGTCACGTGTTCAAGGAAGACAACAAGACAAAGAGGATCCGGCGTTCCGTGGTCTGGCCAAGAGGTGTAGTGAAACTGGGTCACCACACGTGATTTCTTTGTCTATGAATAGAATTTAAATCAAATGCCTCATCACAATTTGAATTTAAAAAGCATATATAATATAATTGGCTTGACTTTGAAATATTTTTTTTTAACTTAAAATGAAAGCAACACTATAAGCAGATGAAGTTCGTTATGGTTTGGTAAAATACCCACCTCCTTATGAATAACAGTAATTTTTCGTACAATGTAGAATGCGTACTCTTTTTCTTCAAGCATTTTCACAGACACAGTTCCGTAATTAATGTGTTTGTTTCTTTCTGGCCAGTACTGGGTGCACTTGATCTGGAAAAAATATAGATTTTGACACTTTATTATAAAATACAAAGTAGTAGATTATTTTAATGTAGGGTATATATACATTCAAGGATATTTTCCTGAATGTTTGTTTATTATAGTAAATCAGTAATTATGTTTTAATTTTGTAAAGAAATATATTAAGTATAACACAGTTAACTTCGACACATATCTTTAACATATGTGTATCATATATATGTGATTCATAAGATTAGTTTCATATGGGAATCATATAAAAGGGATTCATATGTGGCCAAATTGCCTTTGTATAGAAAGAAAAATCAGGATAACCATCTGCTTTTTGCAAAAGAATTCTGCTTTTGGAGACTTTCTTAAAAGTCAATAAAATAATGTGTTAACAAATATTTCATACTATCAATATCATAAAACTCTACACATGTACAATTAAAAATGATAACGGAATCAAGAAAAAACTAGATAAAAATTTGCATTATGTTGGGTTTTTTTTTACATTAAAAATAAAACATAGTTTAGATGCCTATCCTAACAATCTTTTCTTGGTCAAGCATATTTTAAATAACATTTTATCTAAACATGAATAGAGTGTAGTCGATAGATATCATAACACAGATGATTATTAAAGGAAAAAAAAATCAGAATCATCTTTTAACAAACCAGTTTTCCCTATAGTGTTTTTTATTTCTGGTAACACATGCATGTATATGTTATAGAAACCCATGTTTAAAATGCGTCTTAGTAAAGAGACTATTTCACTTTTACAAATTCTGGAATTCTAATGAAATTCAATTTATTTCTCTGTAATATACCTTATTGCTCTCCTTGAGATTTGTCAGCATAACAATGACAGTCACATTTTCCTGCCATACCATTGTCCAAAAATCACAAACAGTGTTCTGTTTCGGTCCTAAAACAGAATAATACAGCAATCGGTAGATTGCTTACAGCGTTATTTTTCCTAAATGGGACTATCTGTATGTAACCATGACTTCTGCTCTTGAAAAGAAGATTGACAAAAAAAAAAATCACCTTCTTGCATAAAGCATGAACAGCCCTAATTAATCAAGAGAACAACTTGAACAAACTAGAACCTCCCTGAGAAATCTTCTCTTTTAATGTATGTTTAAACATCTTTGCTGTTCTAAAAGCCCCCCCCCCCTTCCCAACCGCCGGTCACTGCTATGCAATAATCTGATCACATATTATGGATCTTTCCTACTCGTTTGATTTCTAATTATTTGAATATCATTAATCAGGGCTGTAAATTAGTCAATTATACACTACTAGTATGTCAATAAGATGTTTCATCTGGACTAGGAGCATCTACGATTTTTCAAATGTTACTGTGACAGTCATTTGGAATATTTCTTTATTATTTCTACTGGGAAAAACTAACTGGATTTGACTGATAATCCATTTCCTCGAGTATGCATTCTGACAAATTTAGTTAACTTTTATTTAGTGATGCTGAAAAAAGCAGATTTTAAACAAACAGAGAGACGGGTGCCGGACGCCCGTCGATCAGTTGATTCTTTTCGGCCGTCACCTCAATTGATCTTAAGAGATATTTGAACTATTTTTTAAAGTTTTTTTACTTTTACTTACCAAGTTTAAAAAAATAACTAAATTAATCAAACTATGTAATAAAAATTCTGGAATAAGCTTGCAAGATGAAAGTAGGTATACATATGTACTATTTAGAATTATTCTTGTGTTATAAGACACAAATATTTAATTTTTTTTGGTTACACATGCATATTAAATAAAACTTTCACAAACACAAGAAAAAAAGTAACAAGTAAAACCTTGTGCAGCAATGTACTCATTTTCTCTTTCTGCGCCCTGAAAAATGTGAATTATTTAAATATAATTAGATTAGGCCTATCTTAAAATTAATTACGTTTAACTGAAATACAACAAAGAGAACAAAATTAAATATAAAAAAAATTAAATAAAAAAAAAATCAAATATAAATATATAAAGAATTTATTTCATCAGATGTTAAAAAACACTTTAAGTTCACCAGAGTATGAAACAGCATATTCTTACCCCCGAGTCCACCTCTGAGATCCCTTTCTGCTCTGCTCCAATTGTATTGTTTAATTGAAATTTGAACTTGAATACTGTTCGTTATCTCCATATAACCCAGTAACCATGAAGCCATGAAAAGAAATTTTAGGAAGAGGATCCCTTGCTCATCATAACTTTGTACTGACTTTTTCTTCTACCAAGGATCATAATAGAAGATATTCAAAGAATTGATCGATGTATTTTCACTTTAAAAGCTTTAAAGACCTGGGTCCGCCGCCATAAAACTTTAAGAATTCTCAAAAAAAAAAATCTCAACTCAAGTCTTGAGAATTACTCAGCTGAGGATTTGAGAATAAAACAGATTTAAGGAATTTTTATTTTTCTCAACTTTTTTATGAGGGCCGCTGAGTCTGAGAATTTTGGATTTGAGAAAATTCTCAGACTTGAGAGCATTCTCAGACTTAAGTATGTTTTATAACGGCGGACCCTGCACTTACACCAACAATTTACCAATGATCCCATCGAAATCTTGATAAAAGAATTCTTAATCCTTATAAAACTACACTTAATTCATTGCATTTCATTCATGTACAACAAAGAGTTACCTGAATGATTCTAGTGACGTAAAATTATAAAGGTATATGACTTGCAAAATTACATTCATGGATATCTGTTTTAATGCAAAAAAATCTTACTTCTATATAGTTAGCGTGTATGTAGTCTGAATCTGTCTTTAATACTACCCTAGAGTGGTCATCTGTTCCAAGAAAAACAAAATCTAATCAACAACAACCTTTTAGAAAGTTCGTTTTATTTATACTGGGACAGTTCAATAAAAAATATCTGATGTGCTATACCATAGTTGTTATGACACAAAAACGAAGCATTTGTGAATACTTACAAGGAAATGTAGTCTTGAATCTGTTTTTAGGAATATTTTCAGTCCTTTTTCCGACGTCACATTTGTAATTTTCACCGTAGGGTAACGTCTGAAACATGTATGGATTGTTGTATTCCATTAGTAGCACTGTGATGTTTGTTTCATTTTTTGATTTAATTTTGAATCTCTCTGACATATCTTATTACTAAGGGAACAATAAAAAAAACCATTCACCTTATTCGAACACAATATTTTCTTCAGTTCAAAACAATGATAGTTTGTATATTGTTTTCCCTCGAAAAATTTACTATTTAAAAATTTTATTATAATTTTTAGGAAAATCGGTAACATATTATTAGGTTTTAAATTCCTTTAAAATGGCAGGCATCGGATTAGTTCAATTTTTATATGTTTTTTGAATCTGATGATGTTTATAAGGGGGTCATATTGAAAAACAGGAACCCACTATCTTGTGAAAGATTAAAGGGTTTAAATTCCTTTTCTCGTCTAGTTGACCCCCTTTTTCCTCTGTACATCGTGTTACAATGTTATTTTGGTGCTGAGGGTCTAATTAGGCAATACCTAACCTAAGATGTTAAATACTCTTTCTTTGAGTTCCCTTTCTTCATCTCCCATTTTGTAAGCTGTGTGTTACTTCTTTCGTCTTTTACTTGAATATTTCACTTTTAAATATTGATGCTATTTGTTTGTGCCTGCTTTTAACAACAATAAAACAAAACAAAAACAACACAAAACAATACAAAAAAACAAAAAAAAAAAACAAAGAAACAAACAAAAAAAAACCAAACAAACAAAAAAACAAACAGAAAAGCTCAGTCGTTTATCAGGAGAACTAGAAATCATGGAAGTCTTTTATGTAGAAATGCCATTGCTCTCACATGCAGACATTTTATTTGATTCTAAAATTTTACGTACTGCATACTCCTTTTGAAATCCTTCATTATCATCTTTCCCTTTCTCAGTGATAACATTTTCTAACCGGCTCATCGGAATATCCGGTGTTGCTATATCATTTATATATATTTCTCCATATGGGTTCTCAGAGTGAACTATTTCATCTTTATCAACTTCAGCTAGGGGGTTATCTTCATTTTTACCCATCAAATTTTGCTCATATTTTCTTTTCTTGGAGCTTTTAATTTTTTCTCCCTTTGAAGATGATGGAGCGTTTGTATCAATGCCAGAAACACTTTTCACACTTTCTCCTTTTTCACCTTTAAAGAAAAAAATCCATTTATTGCATTTATTATTCTTTAAATTAAATAAGTCAACCTTAAACAAATCTAAATGAAATATCTCACGGTGCACTGCCTTTTGAGTCTTATTCTTGTTCTCAGTTCCTTTATTTGCATTGTACCTACATGTAAAATAACAATTAAAAGAAGATACGTCTAAGAATGTGATTAGAAATAAACAGGTTATACCGATTACAATTAAATTGTTTTTCATACCAAACATTATAAAAATTACCTTCTGAATACCAGCACCACGATCAGAATTATAAGAAGGGCAAGGACACCTCCAGCGATACCTCCAGAGATTGCAATTTGATTGCTTTCATCCTTATTCTGAGTAAGAGCCTACAATATGTGTAAAATGCAAAGTACTTTTTTGAAATTCTTAGATTAAAACTTTTCAAATTTATAATGAGAAGACCTCTATTGAAAAATATGTCAAATTCATCAAATATCATACAAACCCCATAAACTTCACAATCTCCAAAGACAGAGTTACATGTTTTATTTACGCAACTCTCACTGCAGTTCTGTATACAATCAAACCCATAAGTATATGGACTGCATTCTGAAAATAATCATATACATTGACAATGAAAATTATCAATATAACTCGCTGAAAAGAGACATTTAAATCATGAGTGCAAGCTGTCATTGTAAACTTAAAGTATAGTTCCCTAAAAAGAGATATTGAAATCAAGAGAGCAAGCTGTCTTCAAAAACTTAAAGGGTAGAATTACAATATATTTTTGCATTAATACGTTACCTTGTAAACAGTATGCTCCATAGAAACCCCTGTCGCATCCAGTTAAACAAGATCCATTGATGTGGTGACAAGATAAAGGCTGCCGACATTTACCACAGGGCTGGCTACAGTTTATGCCATATTTATTATTGGAACATTCTAAAACAATTAACAATGTATCATAGTAAAATACAGAGAGCTGATGTTCAAAATGTTGAGTTTAAAAAATGTATTTCATTTAAACATTTGTTCAAGATATATAGATATTTTTTTTTACATTTCTGCAATCTTAACAGCCATATCTAAAAAACACAGACTAATGTTGATAACATCTTTACTGGGCAGCATGCATTAAAGGTTCTTCTTCAGGTACATGTTGTTGCGTATGCATTCCGTTACACACGTTTCTCCATGGGCCCGTGGCCCCACCACAGTCAAATTTCTTAGCGCCACAGATATCAGCGCCATAGTTCCGCCACAGTTAAAATATTAGCGCCACAATACGATCGTTGTTGGCAGTACGATAAATATATAAATTTATTCATCAATGAGCCTCAAAAGTATGTACCGTTTTCAGTTTCTAGTGCTAAACTGTTAATTTAATTTACTATAATTAAGCCCTATTGGCTGGCTTGCAAAATTAATTATCTTCAAGACCTCGCTGGATACTTGAAGCCTTTTTATGTACACTTCACGAAATTTATCAAGTAAATTTTAAACATTAGTTAGTCCATGCTTAAAAAGTTCTACAGTTAACAACGTCTCTAACATTGCACTTGTACAAATCGATCATTCTTTGCTTTTTATTTGATCTACATGTATAAGAATTTCTTCTGTCCTTTAATGAACACTATATGTATGCGTATATTTTTGTAAACATTTTATTTTTAAGTTATGGTTAAAAACCTATTATTATTCTGATACATTTTTAAGATTTTATAGGCAAATATCTATTTATTTAGTACATGTACATGTATGTGTGTTTTAAGATGAGGGAGGTGGAGGGGGACAATGTTAAGTTATATCGTGGAAATGTTTTAATTGTTTTTACACTGTGTTACATCGATATTAATTCTGATATTAATTCACCGTTTTTGAACTTTTCATTTTGCCAAAAAATAATTTTATTTGTGTTTGAACATGATTTTGATACAAAACTGTCGAATGTTCTTCAATTTCTTTCGGGGTTCCTTCGGAAATTTTGTCTCGATATGACAGCAAATATAAGTACTTCGCGAAATTCCTGCGCCACAGTAAAATTTGAAATGATGCATGCATTAACAGTTTTATATAGAGGCGTGTGAGTACTCTACAACATAAGCTACTTAATTTATTTATTGCTGCATACCATAGCTACATTGAAGTCCCTCCCAGCCTGGTTGACATCCACCTTCACACTCTCCGGTCGTTCTGTTACATTTAAAGGCTTCACCACAGTTTTCATTACAATCTCGGTCACAATTATTTCCGAACTTTCCATCCAAACACTCTGTTAAAAAGATGTTAAAATAAATTTCAATATAATAATCTGGCAAGTAAAAATTATTTTAAAACATATCTAATATCAATTTTAAAAATTTCTTTGTTGAATTGTAATCGTAATATTGCCTAAAATGTCCTTAGTTTCAATTCGAAACGTATTATACCTTGATCACAAACTATTCCTTTAAACCCAGCATCACAGCCTTCAAGACAAGAACCATTGACATGATTACATTGTTTATATTCCAGACACGCTCCACATTTAAACCCGCAATCCTGACCATATCTTCTGCCGTCACATTCTGAAAAAATGGAAGTAAGTATTTCAGTCTTTAAAAATCGTTCACATGAAAATGATACTTGTTTTCGTTGTTATCAAAAACTTGAAAAAAAAATTAAAATTCAAACTTATACACACAGAGATCTGATATTCAGATTTATAAAACTCAAGCTTCATAATCATTTTAATAAAATTTTAAATTTACGCTTTTTAATGTTATTCTTTCTTCTACACAATGACAACATACATTCTTAGCTTTACTAAGCATATTTGAAAAAGTTTAAGGTGAAAAATAAAATGCATCTATTTAATCAATGAACCGTTATTTCTTTGAAATATATAGTCTCATAACTGTTACGGTGTGTGTAAACAATTTTTTTAATCGCGTTTTTAAGATTTGTTTGCACACACCGTTGCAGTTATGAGATTATATCTTAAAAAAAATAATGATCTATTAGTTATTTTTTTTTTTGATTCTCTACCTTGACTGCAAATGAGATTTATATTTTAAAATCTATGTATTATCCTTAGTATTAGCTACAGTTAATCGGAATAGCCAATGTAACTGCTTCTTGTAAATTTGAGCGTGATTTTTGATTTTCGCTTACATGTATGACATTGCACTTTCCTCGACATTCAACGAATACGACGTCAAACTTAAATGTTTGTCTTAACCCTTTGAAACCCCGTGCGTCTGATGGTGTTTTGAATGCAATAGATTTCCATTAATTTTATTTGCAGAAAACACGTGTAATGTAAATATATAAAATTGTTACTTATATGTTTGAAATAGAAGTAATAATGTCCTACCATTTTCGCATTGATAGCCCTGATATCCAGGTTTACACCAGGAACACACCCCAGTCTCTATGTGACAATAACGACAGTTCTCAGGACAGGGGATGAAACAGTCCAAGCCATAAAAGCCAGGTATACAACCTTATAACGATGAAAGAAGATCTTTCATAAGAATTTTAAAAAAAGAAGATTTTTTTTTTCTTTTCGTTAATGTAAAGTGTATCGTATGAATGCATTTTTATTTACGATTTCCATTTTTCTGACACTGTGAAAGTTCGACGCCTTTTTTCTTGTCCCAGTATAACCACTAAAAACCATTATTCTTACAATGAAAAAAATCATCTAAATTATAGTTGCTGAGAAAGCTCACTTATTTTGGCCTAAACATACCTTACAAGAAATCTTTCATTTCTGAAAGCAAGACTAAAAGTATATAAGAAGAAATGTACATTTGTATAACTGGTACATGTAAGACATAGTAAGATTCGAAACCTTCATACCGTATACTTCCACCTCACAAAGTTCATTAAAAGCGTATATTGAATATCCAGATGGATAACTGGTGCCACGAAGTCTCTCATTGAAATAGATGACGTATTGGCCGTGTACAGGACAGGTTATATTGGCAATTGACGGTATAGTTGCCCTTGTGTAGTTGGTATCATGGAAACATAAGTAGCCTTCAAGACGGTTAGTTGTGTTTGACACATAAACATAAAATCCAAGAAATCTTCTTGTGTAGCCGTTTGTTGCATCTAAAATGAAAAAAAAAACCTATTACTAATTCAGGAGATATTTTCCTGGTCAATGCATACATTTACATGTATATGTAGATACCACAGTGGGCTTGAGTGGTCTGTCTGGGATGGTTATGCGTTATCTTTCTAGATGCTTGATCCCACATATCGAATTTTTAAAGATGTTGTTTTTAAATCAAAATGGGAGCAGAGGAATCACGGACCTTCAAAAAATCAGACGTGGGATCAAATCCCATGGAGGAGCAACCTCTGCCGTTTGGCTACACCCACCGTGTGCTCCTTCTCATGACTTGTCAATATGGAATATTTGAAACATGAGAGACAGATCAAGTAATATTTTCTCAACAAAATATGTATTCTCTAATTAAATAAAATATTATTTACAGGTCGTCAATTCAGTGTGTGAATAATGGAACACAGTACTGTCTATCATTCAAGAAAAAGAAAGCAAAAAGTATGAAAAACATCAGTCATTTGACTCAGTGTCAAAATGTAATGTTGACAAGGTCATTGTATCGAACATAGGACTTACGATATGATGATTCAAAACAAGACTGCTGGTTTATTTAAGGAATGTTTTTTTTTTCAGTTTAGTGTGAGTTATTGGTGTGTGAATCACACAGACTTTTCACGTAGGCATATTTCATGAAGCGCACTAGCGCTTCATGAAAAATATGCATACGTGCAAGTTTGTGTGATTCACACAACAAATAACTCATACTTAACTAAAAAAACATTCCTTATATTTACATTTAAGATGTTTGGAAGCAACTAAAATATACTCAGTGATTGAATTTCTCGCTGTCCTATATCGCTACAATTTTACTTACGTCGCTGCAGCCTCATTGTGACGTCACGTTAACACACGTTTCTCCGTGTATATTTTTACGCGTGAGTATACACAAAAATGACTTTCAAATCAATTTCACAGTTGGCTTAGTAGAAAATCACAGCGAATGTTAATATTAAGATTTAAAGGTGAATATGTACATGTACTTAATCTTTTTTTTTTATATTGAACTCACCCCACACAGCATTATCTGTCCTATAATAAATTCTTATGTCATGGATGCTGTATACTGATTCCAGATTCACCCACCAAGTGGCAGTTCTATACCTAGCGGCTGATATAACACATTCTCCTCCCCAAGCTTTGAGGTTTGATTTTTTACCATCTACTGCGTTACTGGAGTTGAACAAAGCATTTCCAGGATTATATTGCTGTGATTGCCATGTTGGTTTGCTGAATGCCACATTCTCTAAAAAAAGAAAAGAAATCAACATATTCTTATAAATTTAATGAACAATTTTTTTCATATTTGAAAATCATAATTTGAAATAAATTAATTACATAAAAATGGCGTAATGTGTTTTAAAATAATGCACACAAATCCAATATTGCAATGGATTTACACTAGAAATAGTGACAAAACCAAAATATATTATCTTTTCAAAGTGAGTTTTACTGAAATTATAATATTATTTATCTTGTTTTTACTTTTACCATTAGTACAATTAATAGTGGAATCTCTTTTCCATTTCAATTGAACTAAAAGTGGTCAGTTAAAATGAATTTGAATAAAGTAATGAGAAAGAAATAAACTCATTTAGAAAAATAATAATAACAATAAAAAGAATATAAAACCTAACCTCAAAAATTGAACATTTTTACTGGATGTAGATTTTAAAAAAATTATTTATTTTCTTATATTGAATGACTCAAATAAAATGTAATCGTAATTAGTTTTTGAAGAACTTCTATATGATTGTAAAACTGGTTATTAGACTCCTTTAAGGAAGACACTAGATATATTTATTTATAGGATTCCCTTTTGTCGATGTATGCTATAAGTACATATACAATGTGTCATGTAGCTGCAGATCTGTAAAGTTAGGGTTTTATATTTTAGTCATTCACCCTACATGTAACGCTACAGATCCCGTAATGCAAAAAAAGGTGCAATTTACGATACAATATTTATTGCGCACTTTTGGGGCAGAATTTCTCCACCTTCTAGAATTGGTCAATCAACTACCTTTCACTCCCTAATTCTTGACTCATTCTGTAGCCAATAGGTATGTTTTTTCTACCTCTCAATCATTTATAGTCGTCTATACAGGCAATAAACTCGCTTAAGTAAATTTTCAGCAATCTATCAAATAAATTTAAAGAAGCGAGTTTATCACCTATAGAGACGACTATAAAGGATGGGAGATGGATAAAATATACAGATTTCGTTAAATAATGTACTATAATTTCATAAGAAGATGATGTAAATGAGCAAAAGTGCGCAAAAAATATTGCATTTGTTGTTTCTAGCGTTATTAAATATAAAACTAACGCTACAGATTGTCTAATATATCCCTATTTGCAACATGAATAAATTCATATGTGATTGCTAATTAAAACTCATTTACTAAAATACACAAATGAATTAAATTATCAACATGATGAGCTATGTATTGTCAGAAGGTAGACTGCGTTTAATCAAAAGAAATTTGTCACATCTTTGCGTACACTATCCTATTACAATATGGATCAGTTTTCAAGGTGTGCTTTAACTTGTGGGAAAAAAATAATTATGGCCGTAAAAAAAAAGAATTTACCTACTATACCCAGATGTCCATTAAACTCCTAATGCTAAGAAATATGTTTTCATAGAAACCATACTAATAAACTTTATATAAAATGATAGACAGCACAGAATCCATCAATGGCTCTTCAGACAATAAAAAACCCCAAAAAGCAAACTCAAATTCTATCAGGAAGTTTTATTTATGTGAATCTATGTTCTTTTTCACCTTTCATCGTTGACCAAACGGGAAGAATAATATATATACCACCATAAATGCAATTTAAATTTTTTAATAAATTTTGACAAGGTCTTGATTTTAGATGTACTGATTTGGATCATTTATGAAGTTTCAAAGGTTTGCTAATGTATTTGTTGATAAAGCATATCTAATGAAGAAAATGTGGCCTCCTTAGTGTCAGACACAGAGACAGATGGGCACGAGATTTGCATGCATATTAGGCTTCCTTAGCTCCTGATCTATCGACCTTCCTAGTTTACATTCCGGTAGAATTATCAAGAATCCATCTCCTCTAACTTTCATAGTGTTATCACATAGAAAAAAAAAGAATTTGAAATATTATGAAATTAACAGAGGAAAGTAAATGTAAAAAATTTTCCAAATGATTTTTTTCCTTATAAAAAAGGAATTTGGAGAGAAAAAAAAAAACAATTTTATAGGTAAAAGACGGAAACAAATAATAATAAATAATGAAAAAGGAAATGAAAAAAAAAATCACAAGAAGATAATGTAAATGAGCGCTAAATTTTTTTTTTTAAATAAACTCTTTCCCCTAGCTTTTTCCGTGACATTTGAGAATATTTCCCGATGTTATAGTTTTCCCTGCAACGCAAAGAGGTGTAGAAAAAACATTGTTAGGTAAATGAATATTTACATTGTATAGGGGTGGCCATTTATTGTACAATGAAAAACTGTATTTTACTATCCGTTCCCATTTTCACACAATTATCCTTAACGACGTTCGCTACTGAGCTTTTGAGCAGATTTTTATCTGAATTTAAAATATTTGCATAATGTTTGAATTCTTTCAGTAAAAAAGCATAAAGTGAGAGACTATAATTTGTGATGAATTTTTTTTTTAAACAATAATCATTTTCTCTCTTTCTTATTATATAGAATATGTTTATTTTGGATTCCTATTTTTACATCCAGCCTGCTCATATAATTATTTTGTGCAATGGACTGTTTTATACAAATCCTGAATTATCTATTAAATGAACTGTCACGAATTCTATCATCATATTTGATAAATATAGGAAATATATCGTAAAAATTAAGAAAGAATAGCCCAAATTAAGATTGAAATTGGCACTAATTTTGTAATATCTAAAAATTGACCAGAGATCCTCACTTTTAAATTTCTTTTCTGAATATATGTGATATCTTTTAACCATTTTTCTTAAGTTTAGTAATTTGCTTGTTAAATTTTTAATGCCAGAAAAATGAACATATTTGAGTGGAAAAGGGTGAAATAAATGTACATGCGCAGTGATTTGAAAATTTTTTCGTTGTCACAAATTTAACGTGTCTATTTAAGATGAAATAAGACTTTGCTTGTTCCACTCATTAATTTGAACAAACTTTATTGCAGAAAAAAAACTAAAAAGAAAATATTTATGTGTAAGTCGTATTTACGGTGCAAAAAGGTAAATCTAAATGATATGTAGCGCCAACAGAAATGCATCGATCAACATTATTTTCGTGCATTAATTCTAAAAAATATACTTGATAAAAAAAAAAATTCTCATTATTTTTAATTGAAGGATCCAACTTCCATAAGTTAAGTACGTGTACTAAGATTTATTTTTAAAGCTGATTTTTTTTTTTTGTTTATTTTGTTTAAATCACATACTGTGCATTGTAAAATATTGTATTTTATTTAAAGAACTATAAAACATCGTTCATCTTCGATCAGAGACTGACTCATTTATCAAATCATCAAATAAATAACAATAAAAATGAAATTCAATAGAAATAAATCATCATTCGATGGGATTTTTATACCACTTATTACCTGTTTATACATGTACCAGATTTTACTAAACACCAGTTGTGTTACATTTGCTGTTTCATTGATATTCAGTAAATGAATTGAAATAATTTTTAAAAATGATCAAAATATGCGGAATGAATTAACGATGAAAAATGTTGAATATATATAACACTATTTAAGTAGCCAGTTGTATATTTACTGTCGGATCTAGAGATTGCCCTACCAAGCCCCTTCCTTTACTACTTATCAAGTTATTTGCCACTTTAAAGGACCGTATTATGTATTGTGTCAGAGTGATTTCTAAAAGTAATATTAAACACTGGAAAATATCCAGAATGATATAGCAAGTTCTGAAAACAAGACCCAATCACAATCCAAAAATCAGCCATATTTTCCCAGTTTTGAATCTATTTCTCATTTATGGGCAATTGAACAAATACAAGAGGTCAAAAAGAAATTAAATGTTTCTGTGAATTGTTTCCTTGAAAGACGTCTTAACATCTAGACTTGTGTCGGCATGTGATCGTATCGTTAAGCATTAATTATAAACGATGCGACACATCTGGTAAATCACCGACGGTGTTTAGTGATTTATTTAATAACTATTGTATCATTTGAGTTACTTAAGTCCCAAATTGTTCATAAAAAGGATTGCAGTCATCATGAAAGATGTCAATGAACCTACTGTACAGTCTTTGCATCATCGTAAAAAAGTAAGGTTTATGATAAAGATACATGTACATGTACCACAGAGTCTGACACATCTGTTTGATATTGAGATATTTTACTTGAAAAATACGTCAATGGTAATCTAACAACAAAGCTCTATGATAAATGTGTTCTCTGCAACTTTTCAATCCTAAACTTTCATAACTTATGCAGCAATATACCTTCATTACCTGTATACCAGTTTATATCTCTCAGTTGATTCGATACGCAAGAGGATACTCTACGTATGTATAATTTCTAAAACAAGGTAAATTATTGATAAAAAAGTTGATGAAACTTAGTTCTTTGGTCTATTCAATGATCTTGTTAGCAAATACACGTTCAATTAATCATTGACAGAGGTTTTTTAATAGCAATTGTTAGTCCATTATTTTCATACTGAGTTGACGGAGGATTTTCCCGTTATTTCCCTATCCCTATCATCACAAGTAACACACTGCGGGTGTGAGCATTCGGCAGGGGATTGTCACTCTTCCATGCACTTGATCCCACCTCTGATATTCAGAAGGTCCGTGTTTGCTTTGCTCCTATTCTGTTTTGTTTTATGGACTTTCGAGCTTAAAAAACTGTTTGTTATCTCCATGTATTAACCAAGCAATTTCTATATTCAAAAGGAAGCAGAACTATTTCACTATTCTCCGGAAGGAAGCACTTAATGCGGAAATATACTTGACAATGAGATATATGGATCATTTTTAAACAACAGATACTTAAACAAATATATGTCTACTAAATATACCTCGGTGAAGTTAAAAAAACAATGACTCGACAGAAACAGATTCATTTATAACATTTAGACAGAAAATGTCATCAAACAATTAAGCACTAAATTGTATTACAAATGGGGTTAAATGACTCTTCGTTGTGACTTTTCCCTACTTTTTAAGTAATATTCCTCTGTCAGTTGCATATGCTTTGCTATATACATGTACATGCAGTTTTTGCTATGTTCCCCTCAGCCAATTTCATTCATTTTTATTGTAAATTTTGATTTCTTGCAATAGGATTGATTTAGACTTATAGATCATTGAATCTTCATAGACTACAACCAGGCTATGAATTGTGCTATCCATCCCTCAAAAATCATATTTTTTTAATATGATGTAAAAATTATTCACTTGCTGTAAGTGATACAACTCTTTGCCAAACTCTTGAATTGAAATCCCACCCATGATAAGGAAATGGCTCATCAAAATAGTTCGAAAAAAGAGCTATAAAACTCTAAACTCAAATCTGGTTCATAACTGCATACCTCGCATTCAAGTTCAATAGATTTACCTGTTATCGATGCAAATTAAGAAATGTTGAGTCATAAAAAACCCTAACAACTGTTAACCTAAAATAACTAAAATATATAAATCGTTACTTACCATAACTGCTTGCACACCATACTACCAACGCTATTTCGTAGATTAGCAATAAAATCATATTGTTAAACTTCAGGAAAAAAATTCTTTAGAGTGCAAAACGATTTAAAAACAACTCATTAGGATGAAAATTCGCTGCAATGACATCACTGTACTTTAAAATTGTGTTGTTCATAACACAAATCACTTTATATAGGTCTACTTGAGGTGATTCGCATCCTAATTGCACGGAAAGGAAGTTATTTCCTTTTTAAGAGTTTATTTACTCAGTGCTATGACTGAATAGATATCAGAATATTGATTTTATACACACCATAATGTATCAGCGTATATTGATACCTTAATAGAAATATTATTGTTTTGAAAAAAAAAATTCGCTATGGATTTGAATGTCTTACAAATCTTTGTGATGCAACCAAGAATTTTACTCCATTTGTTTTTGTATGTTGCATTTCATAGTACTTTTACTTTATATTTGCCCTCTTACTTCAATAAATCAATCATCAGGAATGACGCTTACATGACTTTGTTGTTGTATTCATAAAAATAAAATGTTTAATACATAGTACAATTTATATGTTAATGTAAATGTAAGCCAAATTTGAGATGCAATACTCTGCTAAATAATTACTTTTATCCATAATACTGTAAAATCAAATATTTCCGGGGGGATTCCGAATTTTGAGAAAAAAATGATCTGTGAGGATTTGATTTCGTGGTTGGAGAAGTATTGTGATAATAATGCTTATCATATTTCTTGAAAGAGAGAGAGAGAGAGAGAGAGAGAGAGAGAGAGAGAGAGATATGTGTAGCATAACAATACCTTATTTGTATCTAATCCTCAAGGTCAAGCAAACATGACCAAATCAATAACCTATCCCTCCATGTTCATTAAATATATTTCAAAATATTTTACACTAACGAATTGCGACGAAAGTTCTTCAAAATATGTAAATGCACAGATAAATGTAGATAAGATTAGGGAAATCCCGGATTTTCCAATTATTTCTAACATTGAAGAGCTAGTATTGATTATCTGGGAAGTAAATAGAGTTTAAGAATGTGATTATATGCCCGAAAATATACTGTAGGTAGAATTGTCAAGTTTGTATATTGCACAGACTAATAGATAGATAGATGCGCAGCACAGTTAAGGTTACATTAAGTAGGCGGGCCCTAATTTGTACTTGAAATGTTTACTATGACGTCACACATAAAATAAGGTCTTCAAAATAACACAAAATGAAATTATTTGCTATTTCAAACAGCCGGATAGCTGTATACTAAATATAAACTTAATATTACATACAGTTTTGTCGTTTGTTAAATCCCACACAACAGTATATAAACAATGCGTCGATCGCAATTTTTTGTCAATTTGACATAATCTCGCAAAAATGACGCAATTTGTTGACAGTTAGAGGCTGATCAAGTCATATTCTGAACGATGGAAAATGTCTTTTGTTCTCAAATAAAATATTATGTGCAGTTAAATGAAAGGCCGTTAACTTGGATGCAATGTCTATTTTAGTATTTTATTTAAAGATTGTCCGTACATTCTCCAGACAAGTGATACTGTTGTGTGTTTGTATGTAGATTCATTGAAAAATTATGGATGGGCCTTAATCAATCGATGTATTGTGTATTATGTACCCTCAATGTATCTTGTCAAGTTTTTACACATAAACTCAAGAAGCATTAAGATATTTAAAAACTGCTGCGAATCTCATGAAATCTTGCAAATAAATTAATTATAGCTCAATTTAATGTAGTTGACCAGCAAAATATTCAACCTGCCGTCCAACAAATTAAATTTTAGCAATTCAAAGAGGGAAACTACATAGGTTTGCAGCATTTTTCACAATGTTCATATAGTGTTGAAAAGGAATTTAATAAACTAAGATTTTTAACTTGGTTATGACCTTGAAATATTTGAATTTACAGACGACCTCTAAACTGCAAGTATAATTGATAGAATCATGTGACGTCGACATCACGTGAAAAGTCTAAATTAAAAAAAATCTAAATGCCCTCAACATGAAGATCGTCTATTCTAATAAAGTATGTACCTTTTATCTGTTTAAAAAAAAAATTAAAAATATATGGTGACAAAAATGCATCAAGGGTGTTTTTCTAAGCTTACCAGAAAAGCCAAGAAGATGCGATTAAAGAAACGTGTGTGTTGTGTTGAAAGCGGGTACTTTTGAATTGAAATCTGTGCTTTCATAAATAATTCAGATTGTGCAATCCAAGGTCCAACGATGAAGGCTTTAGGAAATTAAACACCTATCCATAAGGCCTACTTTTGCAGAATTGTTTCAAACCAAATATTACGCATTGGTTCCTATATAAATTTTAGCTATAATGGAATGTTACGTTTTCATAATCAAAACTTAGACTCACAGCTGTAGTGAATAGGACATACGTACTTGTCCTTTACTCCTGGCCCCGTCTTGATGTATCTTGTTTCTCTTTATGCAATGTTAATAACTTTGCATTGCTTGTAGATATTTTTATGAACAGTTACTTTTTTTCATCCCCATGAATGTTCAATATTGCTACATGTACAACTTTTTTTTAAAAAATGCTTGTTTTCCCGTTTTGTTCATAAGAAGATTTTTCAATGATCTGATCAAATATCTACTAATTTCTGAATTATCGTGGCCTGTAAGAGGATATACAAAATGTAGTGAAGTCCTTTATTTGATGCAAATAATATCCTCTATCAAATCTTGTTAGAATTGGTTGTTCTGGAGAAGATGAAATGTTGTAAGATTACTACGTCAAAGCTAGCGACGATAAACTGTAAGTATAGACGAGATGAAAACTGAAAGTGAAAAAAGAGAAGAATTGTGGCTACAGCAATTATTGGGTAAAATAGTCGTACTACATGTATAAAATTAAATTCCTCTTTCGAGACCAACATGGTGAAATGAGGATCCGAGACCCTATCGTAATGTAAAAAGACAAAGTATATTTAAAAAAAAGTATATGGCCGCTCAATATATATACCGAGGATCCATTAATTCCTAAAGCATTTTTACTGTAAAGAGTACTTTTTTGAGTCATTACTAAGATTTAAAGCCTTCTTGGAAGCAAATTTGATTTGAATGTTATCAATATAGGTATAATGATATATTATGTCTACCTTTTTTCTAATATAAAAAAAACAAACTATTATTGTTTAAATTCTTTGTAAATCAAGCCAAAAAAAAAAAAAAAAAATAAATAAATAAAAAATTAAATATGTTAAAAGATTGGACAAACAATGAATATGTAACACTTCAGTCAGTATATGAAAGGCTGATTAGTTGTATTTTCTGACGACGAGGCAATGATTTTTTTTATTTCCAATCAAGAAGACAGTAGCTATGTCAAAAACAGAATCTTGTATGTATATTTTCGATGAAAAAGTATTTTTCAAAATTTTGTTCATAATTTAAAAGATATTTATTCTCATATCAGTCGTCAATTGGCGATGTGTCATTTTCTTTAAGCTCATTATTGCGTGGTTTAGAAGATATAAATCCTTTCAGATAATCTATCATCTCCCTTTGGTTGGTTCACATGCACCAAAACAAGATCCGGTCACGTGATGGCATGGTTTATAACCTTTGCAGTAACCACACTGTAGTTGACATTCTGAGCCATACCAGCCATGATTGCACGCTAAAAATGCCATAAGAAGCTTAAGAAATAATAAACGGCTTTTTGCCAAACGTAAAATTTTCTTCTTTTTTTTAAACCAATACAATTCTAGACAACCTTTACAAATTTTCCCACAATAATTTCAAATGTGATTTTTGATTAAATGAAGTGTGAAGGGTATTTGTGTGAAATATCACTTAATCTAATTAAACATGTATCTTCAAAATCGATTTACTTTCGTTGCATAATGGTCTATGGTAACCTGCGTCACATATATCGAAACAGGATCCATTCAGCGGATGACATTGAGCTGAATTCAGGCATTGACCACATGACAGGCTACAATCCTTACCATAAAATCCACCACCACATTCTGATATGATTCAGATTAAAACAGAAATAAAGATTATTTAAATGTACTCATTTTATTAGGTTTTAAATGCATTATATGACAAAATGCCAGGAAAAAGAAATTCTATTAACGGTTTTAAATATTTACTAAACGCGGGTTGTTTTTGCTGATACATGTAAATACTTTTTTTTTACTGCTATTATAACTATGTTGATAATCATAATTGTTGACAAATAATGATAATTACTTACAGTTGCCTTTATTAAATTAAATATAGTCTGATAAATAATGGGAAATAGCTGTTTTGCTGGCTATTTAAGATTTAAATGCATAAGGTATTAACAAACAAGAGTTATTTAGCCTTAAATATTATTTGTTTTTTTACCCTCTCCTAGAATACAAAATGCCTCCTTTTTAAAATTATGATATTTCTTAATTCATCAAATTAACATTACTATTTGTACATTGAAGTCCCTTCCACCCTGGTTGACATCCAACTTCACACTCTCCTGTTGTTCCGTTGCATTCTAGGAAATCCTTAGAGTTTTCATTGCAATTCTGTTCACAGTTGTTACCAAACTTTCCCTTTGAACACTCTTTGAATAAAATTTCACAAATTATTAAACTATAACTCTCTTTTATATTGACATATAACTCTTCCATATATTGCCATATTACTTTCTTTCAAATTGAGCTAAAGCTTTCTTACATTTTAACATAAATGATTATATTTATTTTTTTTACATATTGACGAGTAATTTTATGCTACTGGATGGAAAAATCCAGGGTATATATTGTTTTGACATACATGTATCTTTTCGTTTGTTGTCTGTCTGTCTGTTTGTCTCTGTGTGTGTGTCTGTTGCCAAAAATTAACCTACCTCATAACTATTTAGTTGGTGTGGTTATGGCTTTTGTATTATACCAAAAAAAAAAAAAAAACACTCAAACGCACACTTTAATATTGTCCATAACTTTCGAACAGATATAGCTAGGGCTTTCATCCTTCACATGTGAATTCAATGTAACAAAGCGGGTATATCTATTTTTTTGACCGTTTGCCCTTTACCTTAGAGTTTGAACCATTTCTTAAAAATTCTAACCTTGGTCATAACTTTTGAACAGTTCGACATAGGGCTTTCTTTTTCATAGGTGTATTTTTTTAACAACACCTTCCTTTGGATACAAACATTTTTTACCTTGATCTTTGTAGTTTGACAGGCATTTGAAAAA